CGGGGGCCCACTCTGCCCACACCTTCACGTGTATGTTGGTCTCTCGGGTGGAGCCATCACTGCTCACCTGTGTGGCATCAGCACTGCTGCTGTGGACATGTGTCCCCTCATTCATTACAACCACACGCGACCCTTGCCTCACCCTGAGTCCCCAAGGCTGCAGCCCACGCCCCTGCCTGTCTCCTCTTGTGCCTAGACCTCAGCTCTGGTTCTAGAAGCTGCAGGGTTTGGGGTCACATCACCAGGAAACTCCATGAGAAAGGATTCTTCCCCTTTTCTGAACCATTTGGTCCCCAGGGACAGCATGAAAGGCCAGTCTGTGGCCAACACTCCCGCCCCCCTCCCCCCAGCCCAGCTCCTTGGGAGGAGAATGAAGAGCCAGAAAACCCGAGTGCTTGCACTAGACAAGAAAATCCCACAGGAGGCTCTGGGGACTCGAGCTTGGTTTTCAAGGCTGCTCTCCCTGTTTCTGGAAGCTGGCAGCTTCGTGTCCTTTGTGTACAGGACACAGACATGAGGGGTGGTGGTGGGGGTTGTTTCAACACCCTGGTGCAGGGATAAACATGCCTGTACCCCTCAATCATACACAGCATTGTACACCATTACTTTAAAAGAATTTAAATAATTCAATGACTAAATGCAAGCAAAGGGCTGAGAACAAGAGCCCAGGAGCAATCGGTCTTACCTACTTGTATGACTTGAATTTTTTTTTAAAGGTTTTTAAGATTTACTGTTCACACAAACAAGAGTGGGGTGTAGGTCAGAGGTGGAGGGGGTGAGAGGATTCACCAGAGACAAAATGGGGAGCAGAATAGGCAGATGGATTGAAACACACTGCAGAGGGGAGCAGCTGGGAGACAGGAGAGGTCCGCTGTGCCATGTGGGTCACTCCCTGGCCAGGGATGGAACTCGTGCTGCAGTGGCTGCAGAGAGCTTCATAGTGCTGAGACTTTAGCCTCTGTGCCACACGGGGGGCCCAGCCACTCATTTTTCAAGTGGGGGCCCCTGGCCCTAAGATGAGCACTTCACAAACTTGATCTCCAGCTGGAGACAACTCAGCAGTGAGGATTAGCGAGCGTCTTCTCTACAAGACCAGACAATTAACACCACTGATGCGTGGCCGAGAAAGCGCAGGATCTCACGGAAGCTTCTCATTTAGAAGCTTAGAAGGAATCGCGGAAGGAAGGGATCTTGCCCAAGATCACAGAAAACACAAGCGGCAGAACTGGGCTAAATCTCCCTCCCATGTGGCAAAGAAAAAATAATTATGTTCTTGTTTTTTACATGTGAAAGGGACAGGAGAAGGAGAGGCGAGCAGGAGAGCGCACCGACTCTTTTCCCTGGGAACACGGTCCATCTACAGTGATTTTTCCCTGCTTTCCCCGCCCGGCCCATAGTGGAACCTCCCACTTGCCCCTTAGCGCTGCCAGAACAGACGCCCCGCGGGAGGGGAATCCGACGTCAGTGCCTCACTCTCTTCTCCTTACTAAGCACCGCCCTGATGCCCAGAACTGTGGGTACAGAGACAAAACACCCAGCGCCCGCCATCACAGAGTTCAAAGTGTGGTAATGAAGGCAGGCGAGGAAATAGCCCGTAGGAAACAGACGGCCCGTCCAGCTGCTGGAGCTCTCCTCCCCGCACCTCCGGCCAGCGCCGCCTCTGCTGCCGTTCAGTGACCACCACACTGACTGTCCGTGCGGAGGCCGTAGCTGAGGACGAGCCGGGAGAGAGTAAACCCCCCTCATTCATTCTTTTCCTCTAAAAATATACACTGAGGGCCCTCCCTGGTGGTGCAGCGGGTTACAGCACAGCACTAAGAAGCTAAAGCCACTTCAGCATGAGTTCGATCCCCGCCTGCCGCGGCGGTGACCCACAGGGCGCCGCAGACCTCTCCTGACCCGCCAGCTGCTCCCCTCAACTGTGTACTTCATTAGTCAGCCTGTTCTGCTCCCCACTCTGTCTCTGGTGAAGCCTCTCGTTGCCCCTGCACCTCTGGCCTGTACCCCAGTTCTGTATGCATAAATAAATCTTAAAAAAAAAAAATACACTGAGCACCCAAGAGGGCATACCAGGGATGCAAAGATAAACACAGACATTCCCTTCTCTCTCAAAAAACTAGCAATTCACCTGAGTATCCACTAGATTTCCATATTCAGCTGTAGAGTCCCACTGTACCATGTAATTAAGATGTTTCGACTTCATTTCTCTTGTGATAATTACAAGGAAAGGAAGAGAGGAAGGCAGCCATGGACAGTGACTGAGGGCACTTACAGGAGAGTTCTCCTGAGCAGCGGGGGTTGTCACTCTGGGAGAAGAGAATGGCGTCCGCCCAGCCCTGGAGCGTGGAGGCTCGCCAGGCCTGGAAACTGGAATGCTGGGTGGCTGCTGGCACATGGTGTCAAAAGACATATTGGCAGAAAATGAGGCTATGGGTAGTCAGGACGTGAGCCTTGCCAGGGAGTTGGGGCTACCTCTCATAGCCAGTGGGGACCTGTTGAGGGCGTAGGGAGATCAGATGGCGAGGTGCATGTCAGAATTTCATCAAAGCAGCCATGCAGAGATGGTTCAGTAGAGAGCTCAGAGCGGGGGCTGCTTGGGAATCCGGGCGAGAACCAGTGAGGGCCCTGGCAGTGCCACCCTGAGCCAGGTCAGAACTTGCCTTGCTACGTGATTCGCCATGCCAGGCACCCCTGAGTGATAGTGCTGAGCAGGACCCATAACCAGAGCATGAAGTCATGCTTTTGGCTCTGCAGAGTGGGGGTTCACGGTCCTGACAATGGCTCCTTTTGTCGAAGAGACCTCCGGTTTCCCAGTCTGCTGAACAGCTCAAGGCATCCTAAGTGAGCCAGGGAGAGAAGCTGATGCGCTGTTGACCTTCTGAAGGAATTTGGGGGAGCTGGCTTTTAATAACCCTTAATCCATTTTGGCATCATTAATATCAACTCACTCTGAGTTTGTGGTTTCGGCAATCTAACAATCTTTTCCAAGCCAGGACTCGGCAAAGTGACTGATCCCTCTCTTCCTTTTTTCTGTGCCAAGAAGCAGTGATTCAGCTACTGATTCAAACCTTCCTGCGTTTGCCTTTTCCCGAAATACCTCCCGTCTACCTGTCCGGGTGTGTGTGGGCTTCTTGGAAATGGAACTCCACATTCTAGCTCTGCCACTCTTAATTGTCTGATCACCTTGTACAAAACAGCTGCCCTCCTCTGTGCTAGTAAGCTGTGACAGGGTTAGAGATCAAGTTTGTGAAGGAGTCAACATAATGCCCACTCTCAGTAGTCAGAGGTGACTCACATTAGACATGATTCTAGCTCAATAGTGAAAGTTTGTCATTCTCTATTGAAGGGAACAAGGTGAAATACTAAAAGAATTGGTGTTGTCTCTTGTGATGATCAGAATAACCATGAGTTACAGTTTTCTCACCCAGATTAATTAAACCTGACACCCGAGTATCCACTTGATTTCCATATCCAGCTATGGAGTCCCACTGTAACATATAATTAAGATGCTTCAACCTAATAAGAGACTTGGACTTGAAATTAAAGAGCAAAAATAAGTAGAGTTTCCAAGATCAAGGGCACAGCTGCTGACCCTTGGGCCTATTTCTCCACCAGACAAGTGTGGAACACAAATGACCGGGTTAATACTGTCTTCTGCTTGTGCTGTGTGTTGTGGGGTTGCTCAGGAGGAGGAAGTGGTTCCTGGAAGTGGCCTGAATGGGTTGGCTACCACGAAAGAGCAATGTTTGGGCAGGTTACTGTTTCAGAAGAAGGCAGAAAAAAGAACAACAAAGTTCACTGTGCAGGTGCCTGGGAGAGAATCTCTGCAGCACACGGAGTGACGGTCCACTTGGGTCAATTCCCCAGATGTACCTCAGTTTCTAATAGGACCTTAAAGATCTTGTAATGCTTGTTGCAGTGATCCCTCCGATCTTTACCTCTAACTTGACTTTAAAAGTTTCTTTTGTTTTCATCCTCTTTTTATGAAAAAACAATATGAAAGAGAAACTTTTACAAAGCATCCTTAATGCTCTCACGAATACAGCAACGGGTTTGCTTCTAGAGTATCATGTTTTATCCTGCTGACTTCTTAATTAGCTATCATGGTAAATTTGGAAGAGTTTTGTTGCTAATGGCGCTGTATTAAGGAAGACATTGACATTTCTAAAGCAGTTAATTGACAGAGCCCTAAGTAACACATAGTAAAATACATGTGTGAAGCACCAGAATGACCCTGTACTCACGACGCCTCCTGTCTGTTGTTCAGGCCACACAACGTGGCGAGGAATCCATGTGGGTAACATTGTTCTATGCACTATCATTTTATTTACTAGCGGCTGGAATAACAAAGTGGAATAATGTCAACTGAAATTCACCGATGGGGCTCTCCAAAAAGCCACCTAGAGTTAGTACATTCTAACAGTGCCATGGAAAGTCTCTGAAATGAGGGGAGAAATAGAGAATTAAGTTAAATTTACAAGAACTGTTTCCATTTAGAAGGAAAAGAAGCTGCAACTTTACAGGTAACCTCACGGGTACTCCATACCGGGATCGATCAGATTCTCCAGGTTACTCTTCGATCGCTTGGCTATAAAGACTCTTTTATTGTTCTCATTAATAATCCCTCTTGAACACCTCTGCAAATTAAGTGTAGAAGCAGAGGCCTGGATGGCAGTGCAAATGAATTATATCCAGAGAAGGAGAAAGTTTCCATGTGCTTTACATGAATGACCTCTGAAGGGCCTTTCCATTAGGGGTTCATGTGAAGGATGACAGGGAATGGAGGAACATGAGCCTTCTAGTCTTTTGTACTGTGAAGAGTTGGTTTCCCTCACTCCTCTTCTAGAATACCAACAGAAGGAAGCGGTCGCTGGGAGACTGATCAGAAATAGCAAAGGGAGTCCCCACCGAGGGACAGCTCAGAGCTCCAGCTTGGCTCTTAATCAAGATGGAAATGATCACAGCCAGAGTGCTAATTGCATTAATTTGTTTTTCTTCAGGCAGAATGGGGAAACAGAATAGCAAACTGGCCCCGGAAGTGATGGAGGACCTGGTAAAGAGCACAGAGTTTAATGAGCACGAGCTCAAGCAGTGGTATAAAGGATTTCTCAAGGACTGTCCCAGCGGGAGGCTGAATCTCGAGGAATTTCAGCAGCTCTACGTGAAGGTGAGTTGGTTGTTTTTCTGCAGGCCAGAAGACATTGCCTTAGGAACTGTAGCTCCCCTGGAATGATAATGCAAAGTAGCCCATTTGTTTCAAGTCTAGTGCATTTCACCCGAAAAGAAAAATGGAGTTCTTTTTTTTTTTTAAATGCAAAGGGATGTATTTTGTTCCAGAGGTAAGTCAAACAGTTTCTGAACAAGAAGAGTAATTGTTCAATCAAAACACTGAATGAATTCAGAGGAAAGACAGTGGTTGGTGAAAGAACAGTAGAAATCTCAGATGATAATGTTCCCTGATGATTATTGACAGGCTGCTAATTATGCCATCGGTTGGCTTGTTAAAGCTATCTGCACCTCTCCAGGTTAAAGAGAAGGCACGTAGGGGCTTTTTCACCGAGAGACATTTGCAGATTGAAAAAATGTAGATTTCTACAACAGCACAGTTTGGGAGACTGGGGAAGCATCCAGCTTGTGTCCTCATGATCTACCACAGGGACCCTTCCTTCTCCCCGCACTTCACCCCACTCTCGGGAGCCTAGTTATTCCCTGGACATCAGATAAAACTATTCCATGGAAGGCTTAATTTGCACTGCAGTGGTATTATTTTCATTGGCTTGAGCTTATCAGTTGTATTGGTCATAGATTCGGCATAACCGAATTCAGTCCATTTTGTGTGTTGTCACATAATGTTAAGCTTGTGGAAGAAAAACATTGTCTTTCTTTGAAATGTTCCTGACTAAAATACCAAATAGAAAAGATTGCTCTCCTTCTGAGTGGAGCAAGTATCCACTCAGAACCCTGTGCATGTATGTATTTGGGTGGGGGCAGGGTGGGAAAGGGAGATGAGCATGTCGTCTGTGAAACGAAATAATCACATAAGCGCTCCAGCAATCCATCCTTGCAAGCGTACACAGGACATGTCCACGACGCCCTTGGCTGCTCCATTCACAACAGCCAACCTGGAAAGCAACTGAAATGCCCATCAAAAGGAGAGTAGAAGGGAATGATGGTGAAAAACAATTAAACTGTAGTAACAGGAACACATCAAGTGCAAAATGTGAGGCCCAAACAAAAATCAGATTCAGATTACTTTGCAGGACTATGAGTAATTGCAATAGAACCATGAAAAAGCAAGTGCCCGAGTGTGAAGTGCACTGGTTACAGCCTGTGGGACAGAGGCGAGGGTGGTGGCCAAGGGAGGTAACAGGTGTGAAGAGACTGGGTCACCGCCAGAGCTGTGGTTTGGGGTGGTGTATTTGCAGATGCTTAGTGCATCGTCGAAGGTCATCAGCTCTTCATTGACCACTCACTGATGAGGGCAAAGGATAATGGTTAACCCAATACTGAACAGCAAAGCCCCATAGGAGTAGACAAAATTCCCTGCTTCAAAGGATGCAGAAAGGTACACAGAAATGGAAGCATGCTTGTTAAAGGGTCACTGTGCCTTTTCTCAGACCTGAATGATGAGTTGTTAGCAAGGAGAGATCTTCTCTTTCAAGGAGCTGAGAAGTGCAATTATTATTCCTTGTATAAAATCGCTTCTGCAGAGAAGTGGTTCGCACACCTCTACCTAGATTATCGTAACGCTGTCACTGCCTATAGTTTTCAAAGTCATGTCTTCTACCGTGTTGTCACTGGCAGTCAGCCTGGGCCTCACAACTCTCAGTCCTTAGGAAGGTGCAGACAAGTGACATTTGTCATAGTCACTTTCAAGCCCCCAAAGGCCATGCTACTGTCACTCACGTTTAAAAGAGCTCCGTGTTCCATGTTCTTCACCATTTGCTTAAAGTGAGAAGGGTTTTCCCTTTGAAGAAGTAGTGGAAATGCAGGAGAAGAGGTTATTCCATTTAGAGACGCAGCTCTAAAGCAGCACCAGTTCAAGATGGGATGAGAGTGGGGGCAGGAGACATGCTGTGGGTGCATCCTCCCCCTTCACGTCCTGCTAGACCTGGAGAGGATTTTTTGTTGCGAGAAGAGAAAAGGTGACTTCCTGGATGGAGTTCAGATTCTAGGCAGCCCCTCAACAGCCATATTCAAACTCAGGCAGAAGAACCCTTGGATCAAGCAGTCAGAAAATTAGTAAAGTTTTCCCCCTCCTTCCAGAATTTTCCAAGGACGTAATACAAAGGACAGTAGTGGAGGAAATATGTCATGTATTCGGGGTGGGGGGCAGGGAGGACAGGTTTGATAGTCTAGATGAGAGAAACTTGGGAAAAGATGCAGGTTATATAATAAGGCCCAGGACAGGGGCTGATAAGCAAAACATCCTATAACACAGCGGAAAACTACAAACATTCACCAAAACAGTCTTCCTGGGATAGGCAGGAGTCCCGTTCAATAAGAAATTTTCTAGGCCTACAACACTGAAAATACAAGTCTACTCCCCAAATTTCTGTTGATAAAACAACATCCCAGAGATATGGATCTAAACAAGTAAATGACATTTATTTATTGGTAATAAAGATATTCAAATAGAATAAGAATTTTTCTAGTTCATAAAGTATTTTGAAAATATTCTATAGATCTCTGCATCATTTTAGAATTCTCCTCTCAAATTGTGTTCTTATGTCTAAAAATCTACTATCGGGAGTAGACAGTCTATTATCTCAGTAAAACTCAGTAGGTAGTAGACAGGAGTCTTCACTTTCTACTCCTGATCTACTACAAGACCACTATCAGGAGTTAAAGGTTTCGTGAAGGTCATATGGGACATATATTATAGGACTTAGGCAAATAAGCTATTAAAGCTTATGAATTAGGCCACAGGCATATTGCTTTGCCCCATTTACTGTGTCACTAGGACAAGTGACTTCATCTGAGTCTTAGCTTCATTGTGTAGCAAGCAAAAACATTGGTCTCATCGATGGTTCTCAAACGTGAATGTATATCAAAATCATAGACTGGCTGCTCAGTCTCCAAATTACTGGATCCTGTCTCAAGGTCACTGTTTTACTGGGCCCAGGGCAGAATCCCAGTATAGGGATTCTTAGATCTCATGACAGTTCCAGTGGAGAAAATCCATAAATGACATTTTGAAAGACTCTAGTATAGCTCTAAACGTGGGAACATCCTTGGGTAGACGTCCAGAGTTTCCGATGAACTTGTACATAGAATTTTGCCTCTCTGTCCTCTGGGGCTAGCTTTCATCAGATTCATGGAAGGCTCAGTGAGCCCAAGAAAGGTTAAGAACCACCAAAGATCCTTCTCATCAGGACAGGCCTGTCGTCAAGCACAGAGCTGACGTGTGTACTTGTGTAGGATTCCATAACACAGGGCGACAGTCACGAGGGCTCTGAGAGGCAAGGAAGGACCCCAAGGCCCAGAAAAGCTGTTGGGGATACACAGAGGGGGTGTGGTTAAAGATGGGTATCTGTTGGTCTGTCTAGAAACTCAAAATTCTCACCAACTAGAATTGTAAAATCTGGAATTAAAAAATGACTAGTGCGTTTGAGAGCCCTTTGCGGAGCTGACAGGCAGCCCACCAAACTCAATACATTAGATTGAAACAAAAATCAACAAATCAACCAACCTCTTGGCAGTCCTGAGAGAGAATCTGGAAAGCAAGCTACTGAAGGAAAAGCGTGTGTGCCAGGCCTCCCAGCATAGGGCCCCTCTCCTGGCCCCCCACGACCCACTTTTCAGCTGCTTTGTCCTTGTTCGTCCCTTGTGGTCTTTCTAACGCCCTCGATTCTCAGCAAGGCCCAGCAACCACCTTTGGAGCTAGCGGCCCCCACACGTCAAGCAATGGGGTGGGAAGTCAGGATTTAAGCAGGCTGAGGAGGGGCTAGCAGAGACCAGCACTTGGGCCACCTTGCAGTCAGCATCGTCTCCTTCCTGCACGCCTTCTGGCTCCTCTGGGCTCATTCAGGAGCGAGAGTCTGGGGGTCTTCCTGGTGGTGGAGCAGAAAGCAGCAGGCACTCTCTTGTTCCATCCCAGTCGTCCTTCCACAACCAACTCAAAAGCTCCTCTCTGGGAGTCCTACCCTGCTCTCCCTAATTCTCAAAGCCAGAACAGTTCCTTACGCCACCCCCCTACCCCCCTTCACAAGAATAATCGGTTTTTGCAATTCAGCTCCACACACTCTTCTCACTCACTAGCTGGTTCCAGTCCTTCTGCACCACCCAAAGCCCACAGTGCTCCAGGTATTTGTCAGCGTGGTTTCATCGGGAGGCTGGATGATCCCTGGCCCCACCAAGCACTGATGGTGTGAATTTGGCTTAAATGGTTAAGTAAATCAGCATCCCACTTGGCTCTTGGTTTCCTCATCTGTCAAGTGGGAGGAATACTCTGAGCCCAGCGTCACTCTCAGGCTGTGGTGGAGAGGAGAAGGGGGAGAAGCTGGGCAGTGGGTATGAGAAGCTCTTGGGCATGAGAGGTAAGGGGTGGGAGAGGGGGGGAGGGGACTTCCTGATGTCAGACAGCCCATCTCCTGGACAGGCTCCTCCTTCAGCTATTTCATCAAAAGGGGATGTTACAGGGATGACAACTGTCATTTCTCAAGATGTGAATGTAAATCAGTTTTGAAAGTAAAACCCTTGACTCAAAATAAAATAGGGGGGTAATCCTCCATCAGGGATTGGGATTCTGCTTGTTCGTCAGAAGTAATTAGGAATAGGCCTTATTAAAAAATTTGTTGGGCAAATCTATATAAAGAAGCGTTTCAAGTCCTTGGGGAAACAGACGTTACGTAAGATGCAAAATGTCATCCAGATTGGGCTGTGAGGACGTTGCAATTTTTAGTGAGAACCCAGGAATTCATTTCCATTTGGAATGTTTGCCAACATGATTGAGGCTGCACTTCAATTTGAATTAATGTGTAAAACAAGAACGGGGGTCTGAAACTGAGGCGGAGATGACAGAGTTCCGGGGAAGTGAGATTCCACGCGAGTTTCCAAAGACAACTCGTCACAGTGAGCTCTTGTCAGGGAAGAGCTTGCTTCTGGTGTGTCTTGATTTGAGAGGCCATTTATCCCAGAGAGGTGGAAATGATAACCTTCTCCTGT